ATCAACTTAACACATGGCTAACCCATGATTTGGAAGTGCCCGCAAAAGAGTTATGGATACTGCTGTACGAACATCAGATGCTGGGTATCTCACGCGCAGGCTGGTCGAAGTAGTTCAACATATTATTGGACTAAAACGACCTCATCCAAAACCCTCCAGCTTAAGCTATTTTTTGTTTGAGAGAATTTTTTTATGTTAAGAAGAAATAATTGTTTGTAATTAAAAGGGGTTTCTTTTTAACCCTCCAACCTAAGAATTTGCTCCTTCTTTTTGACGTTGTTAATGGATTTACATGTCATCTAGGTCTGTATTAAGTTTCTCGAATTTTGATCCAATTTTTTTCAAAAAAAAAAAAAAAAGGTTCGAAGACGAGTTCCAGCTGTATATATAGAAACATATAAGCAATCAACTTACCGAAACATACCATGCAATTGGATATTGGATATATTATGGTTAATTGTAATCTAATAGCAATTCATTATTAGATGTGAATAGTTCCAACTACTCAAAATGATCATAGGCCAGGCTTTACGTGATATATATATTGTCAAATACCTAAAACTCCATTGTAAATTGGCACTATTAAAAGGTCGTCGTTGGAGAATTAGAGAAAGAGGCTAATGCGGCTCATCGAAAGCAAGTTAAGTACGAATTCAGTTGTCGGATAATTGGATACGGTTTCCTCTCCTTCTTCTTTTCTTCACTTGGAGAATTAGATAAGGAGAATGTTGCGTTGCTGACCGACCATGGCTGTCTAAGAGGGTGTGCAAAGGGCCTCACATTATGGAGGGCCCCAAATTTCTTTTGTTTTTTCCTCCCATGCATTAATCCTAATTCTCTATGAAACTTTTACATCCATTAATCCTACTCTACTTCATTCTCTATGAAACTTTTATAGTTTTATATTATTGCAAATTTATAGCTTTTCATCTTCTAATCTCTCATTAAACTTGTATTAACCTTTTAAATATCCAAAATTTCAACTAATTACATTTGTTAATTATACATTTGTAATAAGAATTTTACATTTTAGATGGTTTTACAACAACCTAAGTTAGATTAAACCTGTATATATGACATATTACTTCCGTTTTCCTAAGTACTACCCATATACTATTCACTAGGTTAAAGTTTAAAATGTTGACCATGTCTAATTGTATAAATATGAAAACACTATCAAGTTTAATCTTATTAGATTCGTATTGATATGAAATTTTAATATATCAACATTGTATATTTTTAGTTTTCCACTCCTTACTAATGCACAATAAAATAAATGAATGGTCAAAGTAATGATTACAAACCGCGTAAAATGCAAGTGGGTAACACTTAGCAAAATAGGGGTAGTACAAGTATACAATTTAGTCAAAGAGATCATAGATGTGTTCTCGGAAATTTAAATAGTCAAGCTTTGATCTTTTTGCTAAAAAAATTATCGTAACGATAAAATTTAATTGCATATTTGATAGGGCCATCATTTTGCGGTAGCATAGGGCCTCCAAAATATTTAAAGACGGCCCTGTCGGCGACTCAAGACATTGGGGCGCGTGCTGCTCATATTTTCCCTAGGATAGACTTTGTTATAACTAGAGGAGTGGGAGTCCAGATTATATCTCGGCTTCCCACTAATTTTATATAAATTGTATAACTTTGTCTGTTTTTAAGATATAATAATAATAATAATAATAATAATAATAATAAGTTTGACGTATGTAAATCATGAATTAATGCTTACATTAGCAGTTCTTGCATCATAAGTGCAATATTTATTGGTTTAATACTTTAATATTTATCTAGTAACGGGTTAATTTTAGATGGTAACTCATATTACTTATCTGGTTGGCTTAGTAATACAAAAGAATGTATACGAGAACAATCGACATGGTGATCATCCCACTAACTTGGTTCTATACGCTGCCCATATATAGTTCCCTCTACTGTACCTACCCTATGGTCGCGGGTTTGAAACCAACCCTCATGTTTTGTTTTACATGTTTTTTATGTGTTTATTTCATTGTAAGGGGAAATAATTATTTGTAATTTAAAAATATTTCTTTTTAACCCTCTAGCAATTTATATTAACCCTTCAACATGTATGAACTTTGCTCCTTCCTTTTGACGTTGTTCATGGATTTGCGTGGCACCTACGCTTTGTAATAACAACTTTGTCGAACGTTCACCCTTCCTCATTAAAAAAAATGGAAAAAAAAATCAAAAAGTCAGAGGACACGGGTTTGTGTTGGATATAAATAGAAGCATATAAACGAAATGCTGACCTAAATAGACAAGTGTTGAAATTGTAATCCGATGAATTTAATCATCAAGTTAAGTGTTAAATTTGTTGTTTAATATTAAAATTAACATGCAATCTTATTACTTCACAGTATAATAATTATACTACTACTACTATAAGTGCAATATTCATTGGTTTCATATTTACCTAGTAACATATTAATTTTAAATGATAACTAATTTTAATTACCTAGGTGACTGACTAATTAGAAAGCAGAGTACAAATGAATATTTACGACAACAATTGACACGGTGATTATCCCGCTAATTTGGTTACAAACTACTGTGCACATATAACATTATGCTTTCTCCTTGCTCCCGGGTTCGAAACCCGCTGCACTGACTGCAATCTATGACTAGAATTTAAAATCCAACAAAAGAAAAATTTAAAATCAGCTTTATGATTCAATTCAAAAGTTTCTCTTTATTCTCAATGATCTGCTTAGTGCAAAACGTATGTGATTTGCTAATCTTATTGATTACTCGAATTCACCCAAAATCCAAAATTACTTGAAAATCATAGCAAATTTGCACTGATACGTATTGAATCTATGAAACTAAAGAAATGTCGATCACTACAATTCAAATATTTCTTTGTCTCCTTGTTTGTTATTAATGATCTAAATTTTAGTAAATTATCAGCAAAAATTCAAGTGAAGATTATTCAAGATCAAACAAAATCGAAGATTACTGCAGATCAATCCAAATAAATCAAATATTCAACATGCAATCATGAATCATAATCTGTAGTCAAACAATCAATCAAGAAGAAAAAAAATAATTTAAAAAGAGAGAAAGTTACGGATGTAAAGCAGAGGAAGAAGAAAAAATGAAAATTATATACTTCTACTACTGAGAAAAATGACAGATAAATCTTAGAATTTCTTTTAATTTATTATAATTTAAGTAACAAATGCAGAATAATTTTAATAAAAAGGGGGAAAACTTGAAGGGAATTATTATGCCCAAGTATTCCCGCCCAAAGAATGAAATTGGCTCCAAAACCCCAAAAATTTTCCCTCCCAACTTACCCACTCTTTTTTTTTTTTTGTTTTGATGTGTTGTCAAAATATAAGTGGTGTTGTATGTATGGTCCACATATAATAGTTATATGTGTATCATCTCTCATGTAATACATCTATACTTACACACTCCCCAGTCCCCACTGATTTATTCCTTTACAAGGCTTTTGATACCAATCTCCCATACAAGATATGGCCTTTTTGGTGTGTTTAGAGAGTCACATGCACAGGTGACGAGAATTGATCCCAAAATCTTCAGGAACTGGGAGGGAAACTCTAACCACTTGATCTATCTTTTATTGGTTTACTCTCACAAGATTACAGCCAATAGCCAAGGTCATGTACCACCCATGCCCCGGCCAAATTAAGCCTTATCAAGACTTACCTCTCGCTAAATCATCATGTTAAAGCACTGTGTGCGTACATCCCTTTGGTGGTGCAATCGAACGAACATGTTAGAACCGTGTATTTCCGTTGATTTAAGACCCTTCTTGCAGCAGCAGCAGCGTGCAGCTCGTCTCAAGAAATTGTCCTGCAACTTTCTCCAATGCTCTGCTGCAAAAACAAGTAAACAATCCCATGGTGCGATGAATTTCAACATTTCTACGCTTTACCCACCATATCGTAGATGCAAAGCAAATGCACCAATCATAACTTAAATTCCCCCTTCTCCCAACTAAGTTTGTGTCACCAATCATGTTAGTTACCTTAGAAATTTGGCATTGTACTCGTATTTGCTTCTCGTCCAGTACTGAACAAACAGCTAGTTGGTAGCCTAAATGCATAATAGACCCCCAAAAAAATGAAGGGTAGTCTTCTCTGCTTGGTTTTATAGTTATTACAAAATAGTAAAATACAATTGAAAGTCACCAAAAGATTCGCAAAAGTGACCAAAAGATTCGCAAACAATTGATACTCCATCCGTTACTTTTTGTTGTTATTACTACTCATAATTTTTAAGAAAACAAGTGGGTAAGAAATGTTTGCATCATTGGGGTTTTATTGTTTTTGTAACTGATTTGATAAAGTCGATGAGAAAGAAAATTAGTGGAACCAAATGTAGTGAATTTGAGAGTAAAGTTATAGTTTCTCATTGAGAAAATAAACAAAAGAGGATCAACAAAGTACTAAAAATGCTTTGGAGTTGGCACATTGTCTAGCTAAGCTATGAAGCAAAGTGTAGCTTTATATTTTCAAGGAAGAATAGGTATACACTCTTCCCATCTCACTACCTAATGAGTTTCATTACTATACAAAATGACCGGAATAGATTTGGCAAACAATTTGTACGTGCTCGTTTCGGTTCTATTTGTATCTAGGGATCAATATTTGGTATTGTTGATGCAAATTCAATCAAATTTTATTGATAGTTCAATTTAAATATAATATAGATATATAAAATAATATAAAAATCTACTATGATCATATCTAGTTTCACGTACAATTTGAATCCGAGCGGTTAATCCGGTCCAAGTAATCAACAAAAGCACTGGCAAAACAATCACCATTTATCTGTCAATTACCTACAAGTTCACATGACTGAACTCTTCTTCAATTTTATGTCACTATCATGAGTTCATCACATGTATTCAAAAAGTTGCTACTTTAATTTGAACTTGAAGATACACTAAAAATATACTACAAGTAGTTGATACTTAAATAGGTAAGCTAAGATCACTTTAGTCATACTAGTATAATATTATAAACATTTTTAACAAAACATGCCATGAGAGTCAAGCATCATGCATGCATACATTTCTGTAAAGACGCATCTAGCGCAAAAAACATAAAATAAAAACTTATAGGTAATCTCTCGTGCAGATTGCCCACAATATGGCAATGCACAAGATGTGCTAAGCAAGGTTGTTCAAACAAACAAATACAAGCCTTCCGTAAGATGTACGTACAAACATGTCAGCTCAGAGCTGTTATTTCATCCGAAAGGATGATTCGATTAGGTAATCACCCTACTAATTACGAAGTATAATGTAGATGAACACGAACAAACATCAAATCCGTCGAGTCCCCTCTAAGAAGATTTATTTGAACTTGTGATACTTTTGACTTGGACCGGAGAAGAGACGAGCAAGTAAAGCAAAGAAAGAACCAATCAAGCAAAGGAACCATGAAACCACGTAGAGTGCTCTATCTTTGAAGTTCTTCTTAGGAAGATGGCTCATGTCGGACACGAGCAGTGCCCGGTAAACAGCCTCGGTTAGGGCGTATGCAGTGACCGGGTCACATTCTTCAGCTAGGACTCCACACTCAGTGAGGCAAACAATGTCATAAACTCCACTTGTTTCAGAAATCCCCAAAAATTGACATATTTTGACCCGACCGTCAATACGTTCCTCAGCTGTTAGTTTGTCACCATGTGTGAGAACTAAAATTGGGTTCTGATCTACATAAACAAAAGCCAAATCATTCGTTAGTTCATATATATGAACAATTCATTTTCTTTATACAGAAACTTTAATGATCCTCAATTAGTGATTTTTTTTTAACTTCCATGTAATAGTGTATGTATTTGTATTTTGTGTTCTACTCTAATAACAACTTCCTTCATGTGAAGACGTGAAGTGTGAATGAACAAGGGGAGGTTGCAACTTCCTCCATTTCACGACTTTCATGTTGACCAAACAAAGAGATCTAAGCATGTTTTCTAGGAATTTTTATTGCCTATATCAAACAAGCGCAACCAAACAAGCACTTAGAGTCTAAGACCTTTGCTTTGAAATGATTGTTGTCATTTCTTGTTTTAACAAAAATGGATACATTCAGAGAGGCGGAGAGTATGTTTAGCTTTTTTATTCATTTTAATACACGTGGTCGAAACCACATTATTGTAGTCCTTTTTTTTATTTCATACATTACATATCATTGTACTAGGGGTCCACTAACTTTTTAATATCGTTTTCTTTCAAGATTTTACCTTTTTTCATTTTTCTCTCCCTTTTCAATCATTTCCTTCGATTCTATAAAACGTAAAATGAATGAAACACTTACACAAGTCACTAAGACAAAGAAATATTCACACTTTGCAACTGTTGCACGGGCTAATAATTAGATATGTTTACCAAAAGATACTATTAGAAAGATAAAACTCCTTTTAAACATTAAACATCCGTAGTGAGGTTATACTCATGTATAATTTCACTCTCTCGTGTTCTATCCTCTATGTGAGAGGGTGAGTTCTATATTTTTGTACAGGATGGACACCTTGATGTGGAGGGACAAACTTGCTAGTCATTTAAGAAGAGGTTTCTCCTGGGTTTCCTCGAGTGTTTTTTTTTAACAAATCTCATCAGAAAGCAGCAGAACAAATAAAGAATTAAACATAACTACGAGTTTCTGAAAGTCTTGTGTTGAAAATACAGCAAGGAAAGCCACAAAAGTGCATGATCTTTTGTCTAATTAAATAGAATTCATGGAAATAAATCAAGAGATAAAAAGAAAAACAAAGAAACTTACTGCCTCTTTTCAAACCAGGGTGGCAAAACACTTCTCTTGTTGCCTCCAAATGTTTTGAGTCACCAGCCTGTAAACGATCATAAAGATCAGCCATATTAGCAACCACAATTGCACAGTTGACTTGCCTCTTACTATACTTTCTTGATGTTGTTGTTGATCCAATGGTAATGTTGCGAGTCTCATCGCTTAATCTGCTGCAAGGCTGATTGTGCTTGACTCCTTCAGAGGTCCACTGGGACAGCTCGATGAGGCTCTTGTCTGCTCGATCACTGTAGTCAAACCCCCTTGAATCGAACACACAGAACCCTGCTCTCACTGATCTTAAGACATTGTGTTCCTCCAAAAACATTGTTGTTGATTCAGAGTTTACTGAGCTTCCTATGTTAAGACAATAAAAATGAAGCCTTGTATCAAAAACTCAATAAAAATATTCAACATAACTTTATGATAAAATGTTTGAAAACAGGAAAAATGGCAGCAATTGTACAATGTCTGACCTGATGTCTGAGCGAAGGGTATGATCCCAGCTCTTCCAAGCACACTATACATAAGGTTGATCAAAGAACTCTTCCCACCTGCAGCAAAGCCAACCAAGAGAATGGTAACGGTTGACGGGATCTCCATGTCTTCCTTCTTAACCCCACCCATAGGAACCCACATATCCCCAGCCCGGTAAGCCACGAGCCTATGTCGAAGATCATCTAGACCCTCAGATGCTACCATTGCTAGCCTCTCCATTTCTCTCATCACCTTAAGCCTTGGAGTCAAACTCCCTACGTCGGAGATGCTACTAACCTTCAAGCTATTCATCTCTTCCGCTGTGGCACACGTTCGCCACCAGCAAAACTCCGATGATACATCCTCTCCCTCTCTCTCTTCACAAACTTGCTTGTCTCTCATCTTCTATGATTGACTGAGTGTAAAAAATGTTTAAAAATGAAGAGGCCTAGTTTGAGCATGTAATAATAGAATGTGTTGCAATTATACAGGCAAGAGTTATTTGTTCAAAAAATAATAATATAGGCAAGAATTATAACCCAAGAAAGAGACAAACTGTACTCCAAAAATCCATTTTCCTGGAAGCTACGCTAGTTGTCTTAAGTTGTGTTGTGGCTTTAACGCTCCATTATAAAAACTGAAACTTCAAACAAACTCAAAATTTTCAACAGAACTGAGCGTACATGTCTTACCAAAATGCCCTTAGATGGCTAGTCTCATTCATACAAGGACATGGGCACCATCGTCTCTTCACGATATGACCGTTATTGTAATATCACATTCAAGTTAATGGCTACTTCGCGTTAGTTTTATATAATTATTAATTTAGTATGAGAGTATTTTTATCAAGTTTAACAAACTTTCCAATTATTTATTAATATCCAACCACATCAAGATATTCTTATCATGAATATTCAATGTAATGACCGGTTCACCATAACTCTGTCACCTCGAAAAACAAGTATATCATAATATATGTCATTTTCGGACGACTTGTATAAGATGAATTCAAAAGGAATGCAGGGCACATCGAATTGATGATTAAACAAACATGTGGAAATAATTTAAGTTGAGATCAAGGCATAAAAGTGTAACAATGCTGGTTTCTGTTGTTCATTTTCGACAGATATTAACAATAGAAAGTAATAACAAAACCGATGCAAATAAAATTGAACTTTCATCAAGAAAACTCAAAACTGAACAATTATATGACCGAACTTCATTCAACATCCGACTCCTTACAGACTCGACAAATATCTCTGCCTTAAGCATAAAATAGAATAGACCCTCAAGAAGAGGGCTTCCCATCTGATAAAGACCAAATACATATTATATGTGTATAAAATAGAGATGGAAACCCCTTGACCAAAAAAATACATTTGCTCCATCCTTATTATGCAGCCTAACTATATGACTCGAAAAAAACGCACTTAATGTATATATAGCTGCATGACTACCCCTGCTTGTGTTGAATTGACTTGACTAGGACACTGCAAAATATTAATTCCAAGAGGACTCGCTGACTCGTTGATGATGGGTGCGCTCCACAAATGTTGAAGTGCTTAGCGAGCACCTCAACCATAGTTGTGGCTGGACTGGACTGGACCGACAATCTGGATATACTCGCAATATATCAATCCTCAAACTAGGGACCTCAATATACTCTGCTGGCACATCCTGCAAGTTTTATACCAACATATCAAAAACGGGCCTAGGTAAACTGAAGGAAGCTAGAATAATGTAATCAACATTTCCATAATCTGGCCAAAGTGTAAAAATATGCAGTAGATAATTCTGTGCACATAGAAAAGCATAATCTTCCAGAAAGAAACTCATTGAATGACCACCTAGAGTTGGCTAGAGCCTACTTGAAAAATGTTTGATAAAACTAAGAGTGCCTAAGGACCAAGAACTGGAAAGTGATTTCACCCACCCAAAACAGAAACTACTTCCGCTCAACAATTTTACATTACCAGCACACAGCAATACCAAAGTTCAAGTCCACATCTCTACTTTGTGGGTCTAAAATATCATGTCCACCACATTGAGAATTTCAAATTAAATTCTTTCAATTTCTGCCTAAAATTATTCAGCTAATTAAAATAACCAAAATAGAATTTGGATAGAAATATTAGCCGAACATGCTTTCAACATATCATTAGTTTATCAAAAAAATATAAAACATTATATATACACATTCAAACATGATTTTAATAATGCACACATACCACTAAGAAGAATAGATAAGACGGAATCAACGTAGCAAGTGTTTTAGAGCATTGAAGCAGAAATGCATTCATACCTTTAACCAAACTTGAATCCACCCTGAGGAACAGCAATATCATTCCCACCAAACTCGAACCCAGTTTGAGCACCATCAGCTGAAGGCAATGCTTCATCTTCATCATCAATCCAATAGGTCTCAAGGATTTTGACTGCCTTCTCATAAATCTCATTGTTGTCATGACTCTGCAAGTTTTCTATCTTATCTAGACCTTCAGCATCCTCAATCATCTGAGCGTAGACATTCACACCTTCGGCACCTAGACTCTTCTCAGCTTCCCCAATCTTCAATATGTTCTCAAGACCTTCCAAGCAAACTGTGACAATTCTTGGATCAGGGCAAACTAAAAGATCACACAGTGGCTTGACGCATCCCTGGCTCACCAAAAACCTGCAACACAGATTAAACTTGAGCAATCCCATTCCAGCATATAGAAGAACAAGCAAAACTGTGACATATCAGATTATAAAGGCATACTTTATTTGTTCAGGGGAACCTCCTGAAGTAGCATTTGAAATAGCCCAAGCAGCCTCCTTCTTGATATCAAACTCAGCATTTTGGAGAAGATGGACAAGAGGACCAATAATGCCAGCTTCAATGACAAACTGCATCAAGGAAATGTAAGATCGTCAAAAAATATATATATAAAGTGACTAGAAAAAGTGAGAGCTAGATGAATTGTAACAGAAAGATAATCGCTTACCTGTATTTGCTCCTTAGTTCCTGCAGTGATGTTGGAAATGGTCCAGCAAGCTTCTTTTTTTATACTCTTCTTGTAACTTTGGTTCAGCAAGTTGAGAAGGCACGGAAGAGCCCGATGATCAATGATGCACTGCAGAAAAGTAAAAAGAGGTAAGCGAAATGGAGGAGGCAACCAAATACAGGAGGGGGCAAAATCATCATCGTCAACAACAAGGCTCTTACACTTCATCCAACTATCTATAATTAACAAAATAGTGACTGCACACAGATATAAGAAACAAACTTTCAAGCTGAGTAATTTAAAAGCATAAATATGATCATAATCCTAATAAAGAGGTAGGGGGAAAAATCAGCATAGCTGCAACCCCATCGATAGAAAGCTATGGCTAATAAACTCGAGCTAACTATAATGCTCTTCCTACAAATCATTATAGGTGGAGAGAAAGTTCATCCAAATTGGCCCAGATTAAACATATCAAGCATAATTAGTACAGAACTTGATTATTAAACTGAGCTCAGACAATCAGACATAAAAAAAGGAAACTATAATCTCCAAAATGGAATCAGAAATCAAACAAACGAAATAAAAGTCATGAAGTTACCAAATAAAACTAATCAGCTATGAAGGGCTACTCCAGAAACCTATGACTTCCAACTCCATCAAAAGCACAATTCAAAAAAGCAACTATCCACTACTATTCCTCTATTCAGCCAAGACTAGGTTTTTCTTTGCTCAGCTAGTGTAAAAAAGTGAGCTATAAAATGTCAAGATATACATGCATACATAGGAAAATTTAGCTGGTAAAGCCTCGATAATGGATACACTCAAGTCAATATATTCAGCACAAGTTTTAGATACAGAACCAACCTGAGTCTGCATGTCATCACCAGTAACAATATTTCCGACAGTACGAAGTGCAGGAATCAGCACAGATGGAGAAGCATGACTGTAAGAGGAATGACATTATTAGACAAGGGAACTTAGAACTGGAATTTGAGTACATCAAGATACGAATAGAGTACTCACAGTAAAAGCTCCACAAGCCGGGGGCAGACTCCAGCTTCAATTACAGCTTGGATCTTGTCGTTGGTACCATCAGATAGATATGAAAGTGCCCAACAAGCATCCGTAAGTATTTCATCGTCATTTGAATGAATAAGCCTCTCAAGAGTGGGAAGAGCAGGTTTTGTCTGATCAAGCAAATATACAAATGGACAAAATGTCAGCTACGACAGAAAATTGGCATACAAGCTTACAGAGTACTACTACTATCTAGAAAACTAAAGAGGATAACCTGGTCAAATGATGGTTGAGGCTTGCCTCTGCAGAAGTTTGATAAGGTCCATGTAGCATTTCGCAACATAGACAGTTTGGCATGCTCGTTGAATTGAGCCATCAATGGCAATAGGGCACCATGGGCAAGGACCAAATCCCGACATTTTGGTGAATCACCAGCAATATTCCCCAAAGCCCAAACAGCCTAGAGTAAAAAAAGAGCAGATTAGATACCATTGAAAATGGAAAATACTGATTAGGCATTCATAGAAGATCAGAAAGATAAAGAGTGTCAAGGAAAGAAAGTGCTTAATCCATCAAAAGATGAAACATTTTCATTTTCATTTTCATGTTTGTCAATACATGACTTCAAACATTAAAAAATTGAATTATCAACAAGTACAAAATATTTTTAAACATACATCAAGACGAGTAACACAAAATCCCACACGACAATAATTTTCCTTAAAATAAAACCATTAAAAAAAAGAGAAAGGCACAGTGTATGTGATTAGTTAAAAAAATCAAAGTATTTCATCTAAAAAAATGGATGAAGTATTAAACCAGCCAAATTCTAAACTCCGATTCAGCCCACGCACATTAAATCTTCTTCAGGCAGTAAAACAAAAGGCTGATATCTTCAACAATATCTAACTTACATTATCATATTTAACTCCCTAGCAAACTACAACAAGTAAAAGGCTTGTACAGGGTTGACTTTCACCATCTTATTTTATACGTCCATCTTGTGTAAACCTTATTTAATACATTAATTAGAGGATCATCAAAACATACAATTATAAAAACGGATGGGATCCACATAGTTAGAACAAAATTAATTTTGCACAGGCCTTTCCGCCAAGGCGCCAAGGTTTTCCCTTCACCCTGGAAACAACCAGGCCCAATCCCCCAAAACAAATATAGTAGACTACTTCACTATCCAATAAAAAATTGTCAAGACTTTAAGCACTAATTATACAGACCTGTTCACGAACGTCATCACTTGGTGAACCAAGAAGCTTGACAAAAATTGGAACAGCGCCATGATCAATGACAACCTTAGTGTTCTCCGATGTGCCAGATGCAATATTGGTAAGTGCCCAAGCAGCCTCAAACTGAAAAGGTACATTATGTTAGTGTAAGAAGGTGGCATTACACCCAATAATTATGTTGGTAAAAACTATTGGTTTTCATGCTTTTCCGATTAAAAGAGAAAATTCACTTAAACAAACCTGAAGTTGAGGGTAATCATCTCTACCCAAAAATTCAACAAGACGGGGAACAACTCCTGATTGAACAACCTCTTCAATAGGTGGGTTACGCTCTGTGAAATAGAATCCCGTAAGAATGACTGACCTCAACCGACTCTTGGACTTAATAAATCATAAAAGGACAACCAAGCAAAAACTATTATATCATATTTGTTTCAAATAAATTCATATACATTAATTCCTGTACAAAATAACTACGAGAATGTGATTCCAAGAAACTGAATAGAGTGTGGCGTTTAACAACTATCTAAACCATCCAATGTGTTTGAATTAATCAATATACAACAATGCATCTACGAGACTTTGCCTAATTTAAGCGCGAAAAGGCAATGTCATTAATCAAGGGAACTACATATTCACTACAAGATGCTTAATCACACACAAAAAAATCAGACGCTACAATATATTCACAGAAAAATTAAATACACAGAATATTAAACCTATCGAAAGCAGCTTTCGGAAGTGAGTAGTGGCTTCAAGCTGAGCAGTCCCATCATCTGAACAAACACCAGCAACCATTTGTGGTAGACTTTCAATCTACAACACAAATCAAAGAAACACAACAATCAATAATCTAAGCAAATTAGTCCCTAAAAAATCCCAAAACAATAACACTAATAAATCAATCAACTCAAAACCTAATTATACGTCATACAAAAAACAAAAATCAAAACCCTACTTACATAATCAAATAAAAAAAATCAATCAAACAAAAGAGGAGTACGATTATACCTTCTTATCAAAAGGAGCAGCAGAAGAAGGCAATTGCTGAGAAGCAGCAGATTGAAACCCTTCACGACGCTTCTTCTGCAAATTCTCTTCTCGACGATTCTTACGAATTTCAACCATATTATCCTCTCTCCTACGGCGACCCTCCTCCGCGTCCACCGCTACCTTGTACCTGCTACGGCGGACTTCAGTCCTAGCATTTGGCCTCAACGACATCGTTTCTTCCTCCTTCGATCGATCGAAAATCAACAATGAATCAAACACCCGAAAAAACCCTAACCCTAGGAGAGAGAAAATAAGCGAGGATCGATCAAAGAAGGGTTTAGAGAGGGTGGAGGAATTGGGGGAGAAAGAATGTTGAAATGAAGAAACCGAAAGTAAGAGTAGGGGGTATTTATATATGGAGTATTATACCAGATGAAGATGAAAGAGGGTAGTATAATTATTTTATTTTAAGGGGGTTGGATTTGGTGGTTAATTACAGGGTGGTGCCACTCAAATTTGAAATTTGAAGATAGGTTCTAAAATTAAACAAATAAATTTAGAATTGTTTTTAGGAGATTGATTTTGTTACCGTTGTGTTTGCGTCAGCCGTCAGATAGTTTTTTTTTTTTTTTAATTTTTTTTTTTTTTTAAGGGTGGGTTTGAAAGGGCCAATGGACCAAATTGGTAAAAAAAAAGACTTTATGCGGTAGATTGGTAAAAAAATTTACTCAGGCCACATTTGAGTAAATAAAAATATCCCTGACGTCATTTAGGCCAATAAATTGATAAAAGTTGACGGAAGTCAACGCGTGTAGTTCAAACCTCATTATTGTGCGTCTTATTCCCACTTTTTGCAGATTTTCCCACTTATTTCCCCTATTTAATTTTCATTACTTATTAAACCCTCAACTACTATGTTCCCTTCATTTTTTTTTTCTTCCTGTTTTACCCACTACTCTGTATTTATTTTAGCATAACATGTTTATTGAACTATGGAGTATATAATAAATTAAGCTTTATTAGTCAAATATGGACTTTTTTTCATGTATTAAGTTGGTTGTTAGTGACTTAATGTATTAGTGCCTACTTTTACTTAATCTACAGTAAAATAGTTACAATAATTGATTCACACGTGATGTATATATATTATGAAAGAAAAATAGGCTAAAAGGTACTATGGAGTCTATAATTAAAGTATAAACAATAGTAGTTCAATAAAGCTTTGTCATTAAGTTGAAAAGCAAGAATTTTTAAGTTCTTCAAAAATAAGACCACATGCAACAAGTATGCCAAACAGACAGCACAACCAATTACAATAATGACATCTTCCAAAAAAATGACTTGCCAGTATTTCAAAATAGCAAAACACCAACTACACTATTACCCTAATAAATTAAACACCCTCCTCAGCTTGCTATTGAGTTGGTTGAGATGGAATCTAGGCTTGACTTCCTCCCTTGGTGGTGTATATTCAGAGTCACTGAAGGAAACTTGGCCCCTATCTCCATACAAAATACCAATCCCAACCGTTCCTCCTCTTCCCTTCCTCCCTTTCCCTCCGGTTGCTGCTCTTGATTCCATTCATGGCGTTGAGGTTGACGCATCACCTGCTCTTGCTCTTCCTTGTCTTTTTTTAGTTTGGTTGACATAGTCTAATGGGGTTAGAACATTGTTTTGAATCAGATTTGGTATGCTTCTTCCTATTCTGTTATTTCCTCCTTTTTTCCTTCCTCTAGCGCATGTTTTAGCACCTGCACTTGAAGTATTTTCCTAAAGAGGAACATAGCATATTACAGTATGAAGGTAAGCTTATTATGAATAAATTAAGATAAAAAAAAAATGTTTATAATTAGTTGACTTTACCTTCTGAGATTGGGAAGGATGTGGACATTTATTTTTGTAATGTCCCGGTTGTCTACAATTTGAGCACTTGTTAGGCATCCTCGATCTGTTGTATTTAACCTTTCCCTTACTTGGCTCATCAGCATCTTTTCTTCTTGTAGTTTTCTTTTTTCCAGGGCCTTTGTTAATAATGTCGGGGGGCAACACTAACCCTTCTCCTTCTTGATTCCAAAATGTACTCCCTGGAACTGGTTGCAACAAATTATCATATGTTTTCTCATAAGTTGCAGCATTATACCAATGTGCTAAGTAGTCTTCGGGTTTGTGTCTCATATATAATATTGCACTCATGGCATAAGCACATGGAATGCCAGTTAAATCCCAAGATCTACAAGTACATGTTCTTTTTTCAAGGTCAACAGCATGCCCAACTCCTCTGTGGATTACTTCAAATCCTGTTTGAGAGTCCTCACCATTCCATATACAATCACATTTGTTCTACTCTTCATAAGACTCTTTTAACTTTTGACTTATCCTTCGGTGCAATTCCAGCAACAAAAGTGTTCACCAATCTTTTTTTGGCCCTCATTCTCTCCATTAGTGCAAGCCTAATATCCTCTAGCATAGTCACTATGGGTTTATACCTAGCTAATAGAATAAAACTATTAAAAGTTTCTGCCATATTATTGTCAACTACATCACAAAAAGAATGGGTTTTGAATTTGGACTTGCAAAACGTTTCAGGGTTTCTTGCTTCAAAATCCAATTGTTCTTGTTTTGACATTAACTTCAGTTTAGCCAAAAGAGTTTCGTACTCACCATTTGACACATATCCAAAATTGTTTCTTTAGTTGCTTCCCCTTATGCTTCTTCCTCCAATTAGTGTATATGTGCCTTGCACATTGTCTATGTTCGATATTCGGCCAAATGTTGTGTATTGCATTCACCAGCCCCTGTAAATGAGTTTAAGTTATAAATCATATGTTTCCATAAAAAAAAATGCAACTAAAGAAGGTTTAATTGACATACCTTTTGTTGGTCAGAAATTACCGTCCAACCGTCACCTTCTTCCATTTTAAAGTCCTGAGAAATTAGCTTCAAGAACTAATCCCAAATGCTGGTAGTTTCACTCTCAACTATCGCCCATCCAATAGGGAACATATGGTTATTTCCATCCCTCCCAACTGTACGTAGTAATTGTCCCCCACAAGCATGCTTTAGAAAACATCCATCGACTCCGATAACAGGTCTACAAGTCTCTATGAAGCTCTTCTTCAATGCACCGTAACACAAATAAAACCTGAGAAACTATTTTGGCTGTCCAGGTTCACCTTCAATAGTTTTCAAAACACAAGTGGTTTCGGGATTTGATTTCACCAATTCATTCAGGTATGGCTTTAAATACCATACTGTTTATTCATTAAACTTTGCACAGCATTTAGAGCTATCCCTTTCGCTCTTTGACATTGTCTTATGCTAACAACAATGTCATATCTTGCTCTCATGTCAGCCTTGATCTCAGCAGCCTTAATAAGAGGATTTCTCAGTATTTTGTCAAAATATTCCTTAGCTAACCAATCCATAGTTATAAGCTTGTTTTCAAAAGTCCTTGTGCACCACTCATGAACTGGTTGCATTGACTTGATTTGCCATCTTGTATGGTCTTCAAGGTCAAGGCTGGAGGTGATTTCCCACCTACAATTTGCACAACCTACACTGATAAACCTTTTATCATTTTTAAGGTAAACCAAGTCTTTGTGTTGTTGAATTGAATATGCAAGAATAGCTTCTTTAAAAATATCTCTTGAAGCGAATCTCAGTCTAACAAACAACTCCACATTTTTCATGTCTATCTTATCATTGAATGTTGGATAAACAACCTTCTTTCTTCTCTTTTGAACATGAGTATCATTCTTATCTTCGTCTTCAGAAAATGATAGTGGATCTTCATTATCTAAATCTCTTTGATCAGATTCATATCCCCCTTCAAAGGTTGTCCAGTAGATTGGCCACTTCCCATTTTCTCCTGCCAAATGCCCACGTTCATTTGTAGCTTGTATGATCTCATCACCGATTGTTTCATTAACCCCTTCAACTTGTGGATTATTATCTCAAAATTATAAATCATCGAGGTATCATTATCAGGCCATTTAGAGGCTAATCGAACTCTCTTCTCGTTTCAAGCACTTCTCCTCTAATTGCAATCATTTCATCATCATCATATTCTAACTCCTCACCTAGAATATCATCCCACGGAATTGAATCCTCAGAATCAAATGATATTCCTTATTTACATCTTCTCTACCCTCCTCATTTTCCTGGTTCAAGTGTTCACTTGGTTGTGTTCCACCAGCCTTTTTTGCCTTACTAGTTTTGCTACATTGTCCTTCCTCTACATACGCGTCCTTCAGTTCTCTTGGATCAATTTTATAATTTTCATCCTCAGCCAAGTCATCATCAAAAGATGATGTGACATAGGGGTGAAAGTAGTTTGGATAAAAACCGAAAACCGAACTAAACCGAACCGAATAAGCAATTCGGTTCGGTTTTGTTCGGTTTTCGGTTTGGATCGGTTTGAGAAAATGAAAACCGAATTATATCGGTTTGGATTCGGTTTTGGGATTTTAAAAACCGAAAACCGAACACCGAACCGAAATGTATAAGCCCCATTTCTCAGCCCATTTTCCTACATATATATACTCAAACCCTAAATTTATAAGCCCAATTTCTCAGCCGTTTCTGATCTCTTTCGGTCTTTCCCTCACTAAAACCCTAGATTTTCCCTCATCTCTCCCTCTCACCACCTCACTCCGTTCGTCCACCACCACCAATCCACCACCTCACTACTTCCTGCTTTCCTACTTACCACCTGTGGCTGTGTTCCGTTCGAGTGTTCCAACGCCGGCCGCCGCTGACCACCTGTTCGAGTGTTCCGGTATGGCGGTATGCTTTAATTTCAATATTTCATATTTCACTTCTCTTTCGTTTCTGATCTCTTTCCCTCACTAAAACCCTAGATTTTCCCTCATCTCTCCCTCTCACCACCTGTGTTCCGTTCGAGTGTTCCAACGCCGGCCGCCGCTGACCACCTGTTCGAGTGTTCCGGTATGCTTTAATTTCAATATTTCATATTTCACTTCTCTTTTCCTGCTCGAATTGCATGTTTTCTTTGTTATTTTGAATTTCAGATTTCACTTGCACTTCTCTTTTCCTGCTCGAATTGCATGTTTTCTTTGTTATTTTGAATTTCAGATTTCACTTGCACTTCTCTTTTCCTGCTCGAATTGCATGTTTTCTTTGTTATTTTGAATTTCAGATTTCACTTGCACTTCTCTTTTCCTGCTCGAATTGCATGTTTTCTTTGTTATTTTGAATTTCAGATTTCACTTGCACTTCTCTTTTCCTGCTCGAATTGCATGTTTTCTTTGTTATTTTCGAACTGGTGATAGATTGTTTTCTTTGAATAGTTTTTATGCTCGAATTGTATTATGCTCGAATTGCTGATATTCCTTCAGAGTTCAGAATATATGTTGTTCTATTATAGTATTATGCTCGAATTGCATGTTTTCTTTTTGATAGATTGATTGTTTTTCATAGATTTGCATAAAAATTGTTGGTTATTGAGTGAGTTCTTTTTTCTGTTTTAAATCAGATTATCAGAATGTCCACAAATATGGATAATGTTGAAGGGAATGTCCCTATTGAGGAGCATGAATCTGACAATGAAAAATCCAAACCCAAGAGGAAGAGAATGAAGGATCGTTCCGAGGTTTGGGAGCACTTTATCAAGGAAGAAACACACACTGGAATGGAAGCACGTTGCAAGTACTGTGGTATGAGATACAAGTGTGGTACAAAGAGAAATGGCACTAGTCCATTGTGGGCTCATATAAATAGATGCCGTAAGTACCCCTATAATACTCCTAAAGAATCAAAACAAAGTTTGTTGTCTTTCAAAAGCAATAAAATTGAAAGTGGTTGTACTAGTGGATTGTCTTATGTGAAATATGATCCAACTGTAATTAGAAAAGCTTTATCTGAGATGGTTATAGTTGATGAATTGCCTTTTAAGTTTGTTGAGGGAGTAGGCTTTAAAAAATTTTGTAATGTAATGGAGCCTAGATTTCATGTCCCTTCCAGAATTACTGTGGCTAAAGATTGTTATGAAACTTTTTTAACTCAAAAAAGAAAGCTGAAATTGGTATTAAAAAATTGTAACTCAAGGGTTTCATTAACAACCGATACATGGACATCTATTCAGCAAATTAATTACATGTGCTTGACTGTTCACTTTGTTGATAATGACTGGAATTTGCAAAAACGTATTCTGAATTTTTGTCCTATATCAAGTCATAAGGGGGAGGAAATTGGGAAAGAAATTGAGAAATGTTTGCTTGATTGGGAACTTGAGAAAGTATTTTGCATAACTGTTGATAATGCTAGCTCAAATGATACCGCAATAGGATATATGAGAAGGAAAATAAATGGTTGGAAAGCTGGGGTTCTTAAGGGTCGGTTCCTTCATATGCGTTGTGTTGCTCATATTGTGAATTTGGTTGTGTCTGATGGCTTGAAAATTGTTAATGAGTCTATTACTCGTGTGAGACAAGCTGTAAGATTCATCAAACAATCCCCTTCTAGGTTGGTAAGGTTTAAAAAATGTGTTGTGGAAGAAAAAATCAACTCTAAAAAGTTGTTGTGCCTTGATGTGCCTACTAGGTGGAATTCCACCTTTTTAATGTTGGATGCTGCTTTGGTGTTTGAGTATGCTTTTGAGAGGTACTCTGAGGAGGACCCTCATTATGTGATTGAGTTAAATGAGAGGGAGGGGAAGGGCTGCCCTACTTCTGAGGATTGGGAAACAGTCAGAAGGTTTTCTGAATTTTTACAAGTCTTTTATGATCTTACGTTGCGTGTCTCTGGGTCTTTGCATGTGACTTCCAATTTATTTTTCCATGAATTGGTGAGTGTTGCTGTCCTTTTGAAAGATTTGATGACAAATGATGATGTGGAGATGTGTCTTATGGCTACTAAAATGAAGGAGAAATATGACAAATATTGGGGTGATCCGGAGAAAATAAACATGCTGATTTTTATTGCTGTTGTGCTTGATCCTCGTTATAAGTTAGATTATGTTGAGTGGATGTTAATTGAAATTTATGATTCTAAGCATGCATTTGTTTTGGTGAATAATTTGAAAGAGTCTTTGAATGCATTGTATGAGGAGTATCGTGGTTCTTCTGGTGATGTGATTAGGGAGGAAGTGTCCTCAAGTATGGACAGTTCCCAATTTTCTCCCAAACAAAAGAAGCTTCAGGTATTGAAAAGTAAGTATAAGAAACATAAGTGTGAGAAAGATGGAGAAGCAAAAATTGAGTTAGACAAATATTTAGAAGAGGAAACGGAGGAGGAATGTGAAAATTTTGATATTTTGGGGTGGTGGAAGTTTAATAGTGCTAGGTTTCCAACAATTGGAAGAATGGCCCGTGATATACTTG